TATATGGTAATGTTTACTAGAAAAGCTATACAGTATAATCCGGGTTTAATTAAATAATTGGGTTTAATTCATTCAAAAATAATTAAACCCGAAGTAAGAAAAAACAATAAAAACAACATTTTGATTTTTTTTATCATAGTCTTGTTTTTTGTTTAAATTTATGTAAAATATTTGGGTTTTCACCCAAATTAATCATAATATTTGTTTTTGAATAAAAATGCATTATTTTTGTTTCTGAAACTATTTTTCGGTACTATTACATTATAAATTACTTATTATGAAATAATGCATAAATAAAAACGAACATAATGAACTCCAGTTTTTATTCGTTTTTATTTATTCAAACAGACTTGTTTCACCACCAACTTAACAAAGTATTTGCCGCGAGTGTTTTTTGAAGGAAGTCCATTTTTCAGCCACTGTTTGTGCGTCCCCATGTCACCCACTTTCCTCCTCCGTACTGTTTGAACGCGGATGTGGTCCCTTTTCAAACGGGGCGTTCATTGGGATCGGCGCCAAGGATAACATTAAAAATGTGTGGAACGGGTGCACAAACAGACCGCCCGTGCCTTCTTTTCGATAATCGTCGCATTTTTTTCACTGATTCGAGTTGAATTATCGACACATTTTTAATTCGGGAACCAGACTAAATATTATCCCAAGCTCCCATTTACTATAATTTTAATTAAAATATATTATTAAATATTAAAAAAAACTTTATTTTTAGAGACGATGAAAAAGCCTTTACCATCACCATTTGTTTTTGATTGAATCAAATAATCATTAAATAATTATAACTATAAAACTACCGAAGTTTATTCCATCAATTATTTTTGTTTTAAAAATCATTTAAAATAATTTTCTTGAAAAAAGTGGAATTAAACCCGATAATTCCAAAATATTTTAAGTGAATTAAAGACAGATTTTACTCTATTTGTTGTAAATGAGTGTTTTTTGTAAAAAATTCTTTTTAACTATGAAATTTATTTTTTATAAAAAAATGGTTTTTAATTCAACCAAAGTTACAGACTCGAGAACAAAATATTTAATTGTCGTAGACCCAAATGCTTGGCCATTTGTGCGACAAATCGCAAGTTCGACAATTATAATTACGACAAATAGACCTTTTTACTGTATTTTGTAAATATTTTTGAATTATTTACAAATCTATATTAATATTATCTATATTAATAATATTAATTATTATTATTAACTCAAATTAAACTATATATGTATATTTTGTTTATAATAGCTGTTCGGCGACTTTACAGTCCCTTTTAAAATCGCCGACTTTTTAGTTGTTTGAAAAGTCGCTGATCTAAATATTTAGTTAAATAACTATTCATAATACCATTTATCATGTAAAAGTAATTGAAAAAATAAACCATATAAATTTAATATAATTATTATTAAAAAATAAAATGAAAAAAATACCGTCCCAATTATATCTTCTTAAATCATTTTTTAAATTAAATGTATTTGATTATAATATAACAAATTATAACTACTATTGTGTTTTTACACATTTTTGAGACTATAATGAATATGATATAATTTATTATAGTTAATAGTTTATTAGTTCGAAAAAGTCGCCAACTTCTAAGTAATATCAAAAGTAGCCGAACAGCAGAGTTTCCCAAGTGTTGAAAAACGGTAGCAGATATAATAATTTTTTGTTTTTGTCATATCAAATAAAATTTTATTATAAAAAATAATTGGAAAAAAAGTTTTTTTTTGGAAAATTCTGTTTTTTTATTAATTGATTCAAAAATAAAAATGAGCTTAATTTCTATTAATAAGTGGTAATCCTAATAATACCCACAAAAACAACCAATCAATTTAAAATGTTGTTGGATTGTTTAAACAAAAATGATGTAAATTTGAGTAAATTTAACTGTAAGAACGGGCATATGAGCTACAATTTTATTGTTATTTCTAAAATAAATAACCAATTAATTTATTAAATTATTATTATCCCAATTTTAACGCAACAGATAAAAAACAAATCAATTACAGGCTTGGCAACTCAAGAATCAACTAAGAACCACAGCCCACACGTACAACATCGTGTACTTTATTGAGGGCCGGTAGGCCAACATCAAAACCTTTCTCGAGCCTTGAAAAGTTTTTTATTCATGTAAACCTTAGTTATTTATATTTGTTCTCAGATCTGTCTTTTATAGCACAAATTACAATTATAATTATATTTTCTATAATTTATTATTATAATTAACTCTCATACACACCAATGGCCGGAAAGACCAATAGTGCATATAAATGCACTGTTGAAAAAAATATGTTATATATGTACTATAATTTTATTAAAATTTGAAAATGAAAATTCATAATCTGAATTAACTAACAAAAAAAAACACAAAAAATAAAAAAAAACAATTAAACTTTTTTAGAATCGGCAAAATTGTCTAATTGTACAAATTTTTTTAATAAAAAGTGTTATTATTTTTGTTTTTATATTAATTTTAGTTTTTCTAAAAACAATTTTTATCCACCACCTTTATTATAACAAATTAATAATATTGTTTTGTTCAAAAAACAATTCTTTATATTTTTTGTTATTCAAAACTGAAAAAAACCACAATATATGTTGCCAACTAATAGTTTCAACACGAATGCTTATGAAGATTCAGAGTGGAAAGAAGCTAAATTTGACACAACAATCAATGAACCAATTTTGATAAAAAGAAAAGCCCTTTTACATATTAACGAAGAAAGTGACGAGCTCTTTTATTTTAATTCATTAATCGACAACAACATGAAAACAGTAATTATTGATAACACCAATTTGTTTGGTTCATTAATGAGTGAATATAATCTATCAACAGATGAATTTAATGAATCACCAAACAACTGGAAAAATATAACAATAGATGAATTGGATGCATTTTTAGCAGTTACTATTCTACAAAGCCAATTCAAAGAAAACAAAATATCACTTGAAGCATTGTGGTCAAGTGAAAAGTCCAACTATTTGTACAAAGCACCAATATCGTTAAAAAGATTCAAAACAATAAAAAATATCTTCGTTTTGATGACACCGCTGCTTATAGAAAAATTGCAAAAGATTTCTTTGAAAGTTTTTCTGATGAAGAAGATTGTAACGATGAATACGATTCCACAGATGATATATTGAATAAAGATAGTATCGAAGTTTTACAAGACCACATTGACACCGTACATGAACTTGAATTGAGCAGTTCTATCATACAAACACAACAATTTGTTAATCAGTCATTACAACCAAATTTTATAACACAACCATCAACACAACAAATACCAGTTAGTAAAACAAGTTTGCTTCGTTTGAGATTACCAGGATTGTCACCAAAACGTCCAGAACAAATTCAACTTCGACCCAACGTTTTCAAAAGTGTTACACTTATTCAAAGTGAACCTGACAAATATGACATTGCAAATACGTCAAATGTGATTTATTTTACAAACAAAAACGATTTAGATTATTTTTCTTTTATAAAGAAAATATACAATTTATTCAATCGCAATTTATTGTGATTGTACCCAAATATTTATAGGTGTAGTTCGGAATTATCTATAGATGAAAATTTGTTTAATTATTATGGAAAGTGGTGCAACAGGAAACATTCATTCCAACAAAACCAGGTAAATATGAAATGAAGTTTTTCATACTCGCAAATTCAACAACTAATGTTATACTAAATACGTTTTTCTATCGTGGTTCTGACAATGGAAAACCCATTCAAGATGTTGGTGGTCTTGTAGTTATCGAATTGGTTAAACACTTACAAATGAAATATCCACTCGAATCAACAATAACAGTAAATCGTTTTTTTACAAGTGAAAAATTGTGTGTCAAATTGTTAGAAAATGAAATATATTTAGTTAGCACAATTAACACAAAAAGACTGTTCGTTCCACAAAAAGCCAAATTAATTTGTTTTTCTGCCAAAAAGAAAAAGACTGAAAAAATGTTATTAAAGAAAATTGTTTTAGAGAAAACCATCAATACTCCATTATTAGAAACAAAACAAATACGAATTGTATCATTTATCGAACGAGACAAAAATATTATGATTTTGACTTCACGAACACAACAACAAGAATCGTTCATTGTAAAAAACGAGGTGGGAGAATTATCGGAAGGTAAATTTTCAACAGTGAATCAATACAATAAATTTATGTGTGGTGTAGATCAAGCGGACCAAAGTATGCGAGAACACACGTGTAAGAGACCATCAAGAAGGTGGCTACTTGCGTTTTTTACCATATTATAGACATGGCATATCACAACAGTTATATTCTTTACGTGTTAAGCAAATGTGAAAATGGAAATAATGAAAAGTTCAAAATGACAAATAGACAATATCCAAAATGGAAATATTGTATTAACCTTTCTAAAAACTGGGTATTAACAATGCACATTCAAGACTGAGAAAGACTAGAAATGCATTAACAAAAATTTTTATACTTGAATATATCAATAAAACAAAAGAAAAAACGTTTAAAGTTGGAGAAAAAAATGTAGAACAAACTATAAGAAGAGAAACAGACCAAGGTAAATCGAAATGCAAAATTTGTTTGGAACTCAAAGATAAAAGAATCAGCAATTCATTGTTTACAAGAAGATGTGCATTATCTTATAATCATGTATGTTCATTCCACTTCCAATGTGTTTGTAATAAATGTATGGGTATCAAAGGTGTTGAACAATTAGAAAAAATCGGAAATTGGAGAAGAGAACAAAAGAAATTATAATTATTAAGTTGTTTTTAGATATTTTATGGTATATATTCTAATTTTGTTTTTATATTTTATCATAAAATTATAAATAAATTTTTACCTGTTTTAGCGGGTTTTTATTCTAATATATCTTAATAAAAATCTGGTTACAAAGTCAATTATTTATAAATTTATTATTTTAGATAAAGTTTATTTTAATTTATAATAGATTTATGTTTTGGTTCGGAATTATTTTTTGTCTGAATTTTTTTAAAAAACAAATTATGACAGCTTATTATTTTTGGTGATTTATTTTAAGACAATTTTTATTCAAAATGAAAATATAATTAATCTTATTGTTATTGTTTTTTATTCGTATATTCAGGAAAACTTACCCAATATATATTCAAAATTATTTAAAAAATTTTGGGACAACAATTTCAAAAAGTGTTAAATAGAGAACTATTGGGTTGTCGGAGAGTTAAGCAACAATAATTATGGCAATCACAATTCTTGTATTGTTTAAAATTATATATTATAAATTAAAACAATTAATATAATTGATTTTCATTTTATTTAAAAAAAGTAATTTGTTGTTGTATTTTTATATTTACAATTGAATTGTTTTTCAAATGGCATATTTAAAAAGGTTAAAAACTCATTTAAATTTTTAATAATTTTTATTATATACATGGTTTTTTATTTCCAATGGTATATCTTA